TAAACAAACTGTTCCTGCTGTCAGGGAGGGGAGCTCCTGGACAGATGGGTCAAGGATCCTGGCATGGCAACAGTGATGTCTGCTCAGGACTGACAACACTGCCATTTTCCATCACTTCTGAACACTTGTGACCATCCCAGCTTTGTGCAAACACAATATATCCCATGCAAACACAAAGCTTTGTGCAAACACAATATATCCCATGCAAACACAAAGCTTTGTGCAAACACAATATATCCCATGCCCAGAATCATCCCCAGTGCCAGTTCAAGTGGCCTTGTTTTGCTGAGCCAAGTCTCACCAGTGGTATCAACTGGACCTCTATCAAATTTCCATCCCCTTTCTGAGCTGCTGTGGAATATGACAGTATTAATAGTACACAGGATTTGCTGCCTGCTTGTCAGTGAATTGGAAAATGAGCAAAACCTTTATCCTGATACCTTTTTTGTAGAAGGCAAAGTGACAGGACTCAGTCATCACTGTMATGGGAATCAGAGAACTGTACCTTGGGGAGGAGGCCGTGGTTGTGACAGCTGTCCAAGCTGAGCTCCAGTGTGACATTTCATTGACACAGGCTGAACTTGTGGAGGCTGGAGGAAAAAAAAACAATCCAGTTAATCCAGAGTCCCCAAAGAGAAGCCCTGAGGTAATAGAGGAACTGTCGAGTCATGAAGTGTTCCTTAAATACACACTCACACACATGCAGCATCTGGCTGGTAAAATCTCACGGGACTGAAATGGAGAGGTGAGTAATAAAGAGCATGGAAGTTGTTTGCTCTCAGGGAATAACAACCAAGTTACAGTTTAGAATGTTTTTTAGGCAATCAGGAATTACCAAATGGATGTGGCCTGAGGGGCTCTCTCAGTCCCATCTCCCATTTTGGACAGTTGCCAGCCCCAGATGTTCCAAGGAAAGGGGGGATGGRCCATGGAATTGTCTATGGAGTAATCATCTCTGTACCCTAAGGGGTTTCTTGATTGCTAATAAGCAAGGGCAGGCTTAGCCCTGAAACATGAAGCTTTTTATCTGCTTCACAAAATCTTTGCAACAGTTCCAGATATTTTGTTTTGATATTGCATCCAGACCCTTTGAGTCTTGCTCAGCTTTCAGCCTCACTATSTTTCCATTTCTTATCTCCATTGCTTTATTCTGAGTTTTCAGACCAGTTCTCTCAACCTGCCCATGCTAGGCCATTCACTATTTTGCAAACCTTCACTGCCCTCTCTCTCATTCCCCTCCCTTCTAAAGCTGAGACTGAATCCCTCCAGTCCCTCCATGGGAATATTTCCAAACCCCTAMTTGTTTTCATCACCAGCTTCTCTTTCCCAGCTTTGTAATTCCGTCTGCAGATGCCAGAGATGGCTCTGCTTACATTTTTCCAGATGAAGCAATATCTGGGTTCTCTCTATACATTGCCAKTTCATTTCTCCTGCATCCCAATTTCCTGTTTTTCCCCTGTCAGCACAGCCATGGGCTGAGGATGGTTTTCATTAGTCTGTGTGCCACAAAGTGTTTCTCCAGGGAATGCCAGTGCCACTGGAAAGCTGTGACATTGTTTGTGCTCTGCTCTCTGCCCCAGCCTGGCTCACCCTTCCATCTCCCATATGGAGTTTCATTTCTCTTGTGGGGTTGAGCAMACACAGCTCTGTCAGATGCTCCTCACTGCCATCCCTGCTCCTGACTAATGCCAATAATTCAATGCCATCTGCTCTTTGTTCCCTCTCACTGTTTAGTCTTTTTGACAGATATTTTAACAAACAGGTTAAGCAACACAGAACTGCTCCACAAAGGGCTGGTCCAAAGTTAACAAAAGTMTGAGTAAGACTATTGCACAGAATTGTTTATGAAAACAGGGGAACTGGAGACAGATAGGCTGGTGCATGTTGAATTATTTACATGGACAATATCGTGATAAAAAGGTCTTCAAGGATCCTGAAAGGTCAGGAGAATGAGCTAAGTGATTTACCAGCKAATTGATTCTGGAAATGGGAGGAAATATTTTATAGTTGGAAACATTGGAATTCATTTCAACTGACTAACAAAAACGTGATGAAGGTGCCAGTCCACCTTTTGCACTGTTTATCTGRGACTTGCAAATGGGCAGGGAATTTTCAATTCATGGCTTCTAGCTCTGCATTGCTTGGGAACTAAACCTTGCCTTAGTGTTGGTGGAAATCTATAATCCTAATGCTGTGAGGMATCCTGATTAGACCACCAAAAACAGGGAATTACATCTGATATTCACCTCCACAGCCTTTCCCTACAGCCAACCAAGACATCCCAGAGACAGAGGCTGAGAGATGGAGGGACGAGGGACAGGGTCATTTATACAGAACTGCCCCTGGGAAATGTGGCAGTAAAATTGGATGCATTTGATACTCAAAATGGATGTACACGGGAAGAATTAAGGGGTCAGTTTAAAATCAAAAATGACAGGTTCTTATATGAGTTCAGCCTTAGTGAAGTCTCCTCTGCTGAAGGGGGCAAAGGACATCTCTGCAGAAGAAACTGCACAAGGAATGGAACAAGTCTGGGTGGACATTCCCACTTTCTGTTCTTGAAAGCAGAACAGGAAAAACTGGAATGAAACCTGTCCTGAGGGATGGTGTTAGACTGAAATGAAGTTGGGCATTTGAAGAACCTCTAAAATGCCCGTTTTTAATATGAATCAATGAATTTAGCAGTGTGTAGGTGCATGGCCATGCTATTGTGTGATGTCACATCGGTGTGGAAGGACAGCAAGGGACGGAGATGTGATGTGTTCCTCCTTCAAAGAGTCTGTG